TGATGTTAAAAAGATACAAGATTGCTTGCGTCGACCTGACGTGTCAGTGCCAAAGGGGTGAGTTTGATTCTCTGGAGTTTTTTGAGTTAACACTGAAATTACAGAACTGTGAAAACTCATTACACAGTGCCATTTTGTGGCAATCGGTTCCTAAGAGTGATTTTCCAATGCAAATAGCTTTCTTGCTGACAGAAAATCATTTAATTATGTGTTCAGAAGCAGCACAAGAGCCTTCACCTAATGTTCTCCATAGTCCAATGTTATATAACTTTGAAAAAATAGGTGGGTTTTGGTTCTGTTTTCTTCTGTTTGCCACACACCTTTACAGGAGAAATAATTTTAGCTGTTTACAAAAGCAGCTGAAGAAAGCCACAGTGTGAGATGGAGTGGCAAAGAGTACAGGGCAGGTACACACAAAGCAGCTTGGGGACACCTCTGGGGAGATGCCCAAAATCTGGCCTTGAGCCAGGAGAGTGGTCAGAGGGATTTTCTGTGCCTGATGAGATTTTTATTCTGGGAGCAGGTTTCTGTCCTTGGACTGTAGCCACCTGTGCCCAGGCAGATGCTTCCCCTGACAGCAGGCTCAGCTCTGTGCAGCCACTCTGCTGTGGCATCCTCTGCTCCTCTTCCTCTGGCCTTCCTCCCCCGTGCACACACAGCGAGCTGCAGAGCAGGAGAGGCTGCTGTCCCTTCTGGAAACTGAGCCTTTGGCTGTTCTCTCCGGACTCTGGATTTTGGCAGTGCCAGGAGAGCAGCCAGAAAGGTGTGTGTGGAGTTTGTGTTTCTCCACATGTTTAGCGAGCACAATAATTTGAAACCCAGCCAAGCCAGCTTTCCCACCTGCACTGTTGTGTAAATAACAGACAGGCACCTTTCTTTTCAGTTTGCTCAGGGCAATCACATTCCTGCCTCTCTTTGTGAGGACAGTTCCTTGGGAAGTGCTGGGAAATCCTCTTGGTGTGTGGCAGCCAAAGTCTCTCCACCCCCCTGGCTCCATAAAGGCATTGTTCAAGCTACTGCCATTTGCCACTATGGTGCTGAGCAGGTCCTGCAGGCACCCAGGGCAGGTGACAGTGACCTCAGGAGCTGGGTGGGCTCTGCTTTCCCCTGCTGGACTTGCCACTTCCTCAGGGGACATTGTCTCTGCACGGCTCCTCTCTTGGTGTTTGGGTTGAAGGATGGAGAGCATGCCCAAGACTCGGAGAAAGCAATTAGTCTAAAGTGGAAAATATTCTGAATGTGAGGGGGAAAAATTCAGCAAAACCACTTTGGTGAAACAAACAGAAGTCTATACCTTTGAGTACCCTCAGTTTGTCTCTGATTTGCATGTGTTTGAAGCCTGCTATGTTGTGGTGCTGCAGAATGAGCCCTCAGTGAAATATCACTGTGAGGTTTGGGGTAATGTCACTCTGAAGACCAGTTTCAATCTTCCAGCCCATTTCAGCTTCTTCTCGTGATCTAGAGGCTGCCTCAGGCAGTGAGATGGCTGCTCTTCTCACTTTGAAGTTTCCTGCACACTTGAAATTACTTGCAATGACAAACTACTAGAGTGACATTTATTAGGCTTCATTTGTGGTTGTTCATCCTCACATGGAAAACTTTTTGGTTCATATTTTCAGCTATGTATTTAATCATAGTGAAAAGATGTTGGAGTGACTCTGCAGGGCCCATGCCCATCTGTGCTCATTGTGGCCCCTTGTGAGAAGGCAGGAGACAAACTGTGCTTGGATCTAGGCTTGGACCCTCCCCCAGGTACCTTCGAGCTCATACATCACAAAAGCAGTGTTATGAAAGCTAGAAAAAGTTCACATATTAGATCCTCTACTTGCAATTAAACCAGTTGAATTTCCTTTTTTTGATGTCATTGTTGTTGAAAATCTTTCAGAAGGGACTTCTTGGGCAATAGAACTTTTCAAAAAGTCCAGCATTGTTTTGATGGTACTTTTATATCATTAGAAATTAGTGGAGTGTCACTGAGTTCTGTGCTCGAGCAGGGAAATGAAGATGATATAATCCACCAAGCAAAGGGACAGAAAAAGAATTTGGGGAACAAATCCTGTGTGTTTTTTCCTGCTGGGAGTTTTTGTTTGTTTGTTTGTTTTAATTGGGAGTTGTTTTTTTTTTCCCTTTTGTCCGAACTACTTTTATGCTTTTCTGTCTTTCAGTTTTGTGAGTCTATAAAATACAGCTTGGGGAATCCCACTGATGGTTGAACAAATGCTAATTGTGGAATGTTGGAGTAAACTGCAATTGCTAAAAATGCTCTCAAGAAAATCAGCTCTCTTCTATGTTGTGAAGACCTGTGGGGTTTGGCCCTGTTGGAGAAGTTTAATTGGATAAAAGCAAAATTTTGTTTTCTGAATATTCTCACCTGTGGCCTGAAACGGCCATGTCCAGAAAAATAAATGTTAAATACAGCTCCTCGGTAAGATCCATGGTTAATTGTGCAATTGTGGTTTTGTTCAATTCACAGAAGAAGGCAAAACTGAAAATGTAATTTTTAAAACACATTGTTTTTGGTGTTTCTGGTTAGTGCTTGTTTTTTTTTTTTTTTCCACTAAGACAGTGCTTCTTTGACTTTATATTGCAGCTGAGGCAGTGGCAGGAGACCTGAGTGTATGAGGGGTTCACATTCAGGTTTCCATCACTTTTCTGTGTATTAAGAATAACATCAAGAGAGAAGAAACCATTTCTGTTGCACTGAATCTGTGTGAATCTTCTCAGGAAGATTCGGGTTTTTTAAATGTCAAATGCTTTCCAGTTTTATCATCATTAAAATTGCTGTGTATCTTTTCAAGCTGCAGAAGGATTTTTATTGCTTTGTCCTGGTATAAAAATACAACCAACTGGAGATGCTCCAGAGTTAACAGTGGATTTCCCACAGGAGCCTATGTGTAAAATCCTGATTTAGAAAGAACTGTATTCTTAGCTGCAGGCAAAAGGCAGGACTTAAGTGTTTTAATTGAATGTAAGTTAATCTTGAAAAGCAGTGAATTGAAAGTGACACCTTCTTGCTCAAAAGACCTCTGCTTTTTTTGTGCTAAAAAATAAGACGACTGTAACAGTCTGTAGAGTCAACACAGCTGGGCTCTCTTCCTTCTTTCTCTTAATTTCATTTTCATTTAGTTTCTCAAATTTCAAGCACGCTTAGTGAGGCTGCTCTCCTTTATTTATACAACAGGCAAAATTTAGACAAATGAAATTATACATAAAAACACTTTAGGCCAACAAAGAAGTGGCACTGGTGGCAATAAATGGGAAGAAAATAGTCCAGTTTAACTTCCAGATTTTGTAGTCCGGGTTTGCAGCCAGGAGTAGGCTGAGCCTTGAGAGCAGTGATTCACAGCAGCTCCCACCACTGCCCATTATTGCAGCCTAATTAACCCTGACTTTAATAATCCCAGCCTTGTGTGATGGGCCACAGTTGCTGCTGCCAAGTAATTTTTAAGCACCTAGTGCAGGTAGAGGAGATTTACATAAATGCTGACAAATTGGGAAATCAGAATGTATTTTCAAATCATACACTTCACACGTACAGTTTATTTAGTAAAACAGCTTCTTTCTCACACATGTATTTTGTATGTAAAGTAATGTGAAAGGTGCAAAAAAGAAACGTTAGCCCATATTGAAAATCTGTAAGTTTCTGAGAAATTGAGACAGTAACAAATAATGTTTAGAAAATCTACTGTTTTGGAGAGCTTTTCCTCTTGCTCCTTTACAGAAAGCACCGAAGATGATGATAAAAATACTTTTTTGCCTCAGCTGTGGTCATGGTTTAATACTAACAAGTTTGAAAATGTTCTTATATTAGGTCCACTATAAGATATGTTCAGCTGCCTACTTGCACAGTCAATAACTTTTATGGAAATTGGTGGACAGCAAATTGTATTTTCAAAACTGAACCCCTTTCTTTTTAATTTTCCATAGAGAGAAGGTAATTTTTCACATTTTGAATAAAGAGAATACCTCCCCCAGAAACTTGACTACCAGCAGTCTCAGACTGCTTTCACAGCTGTTTTAGAAAGGCAAAGAAAAATATTTCTTTTTGTGAAAGTGTTTCTGGTTACGAGCACCAACCATGCAGATAAGGGTTCAAGAAATGCTTGGCTTAAATTACAACAAAGAAACCTTTAGATTAGAGTCAGAGCTAAACTTGCAAATGGCATTGGGGTGGTGACAGCCCAGAAGTGCTGACCTGAAGGGTTCAGGCAAGCCCTGAGGTGTTCAGAGAAGTGTACAGTACAGGCTGGAGGGACATCCCAAGGAATGAGCTGGATAGAGCTGGTCCAGCCTCCTAGCTGGGACACAGGAGAATATCAATCACTCCCTCATCTTCTGTGATGCAGAGCTTGCTTCCTTCATCCCCCTGCTCCAAGAAAGAATGAGAAGACAGGCAGAAGAATTTCATACATGTGTTATGTTACATCCTTGATAGAAACCCAGTAATGTAGAAACACAGTTCAACACATTCAGTCTTTCTCTAAGTCTCATATTTGAATGGGTTCTTTTGATTTACGTGGGCAAAACATGTTTTAAAATTGCAGGAGAAAGCCACAGTGATTCCTCAGCTCAGGTAATCAGGAAAGTTTGTTGCACAGGAATGGCTGGTAGCTGAGACAATCCCCTGGATTTCTATTCTGGGTAGTATGTCCTCCACGAAAGAGCAAGAATTGCTGCTCCTCAAAGCAGCCCTGAGCAGTCTGTGATGCTTCCAGGAGGGAGGATTCACTGCTGTCCCAGGCTGCCCAAGCTGCCAAAGCAGAGGAGCTCCAACAGTGACCTTCTGCAGAGTCAGACTTCTGGCTGGATACTTCTTTTTAACTGCCAAGGCACCTCCTCAGTTAGAAAGGTTATGAATAGCTATTTCTGTATTTGCTCTTAGCAACACCTTTCTGATCACATATGTAAAAGGAAAACTGGTGCAACTATAACAAAGGCTGATGTTAAAAGGCATTCTTGTGATATGGTTAGTTTTCCTTTGGCAAGCTTTTCACATTTTGTAGATACTGTCAAGGCTAATGCTTCTTTTGGTGTCAGTCTGTCACTTTGCTAATGCTGGTTCCTTAATCTAACTTTTTTCTCCTTCCTTTTTAAAAGGAAGAAAAGTATGGAGCAGGTTTGCCTTCATTGGAAAATCACTGTACTTCTCCCAATGGGACAGTCCCTGCCGTGTCAGGTGTAGCAGTGTCAGTGTCCTGGCAAGGGGCATTCTCCCACTGCTGGCAGTGCCATCGCATGGCACAGGGGTTAAAGACAGGACACACCTCAGTCACCCTCTTCAGGTGTGTTTTCTTGAGGAATTCCTTTGCAGCAAAATAGTAGAAGATGGCATCGAGGCAGCAGTTGAGGTTGGCAAACGTCATGGACACCTGGAGGAACAGGCTGATGCTCTGCTTCACGCTGCAGCCCACGATCACATGCTGCCTCACCAGGCACTGCAGGAAGATGCCGAGGTGCACGGGGGTGAAGCACACCAGAAACACCACGAGGTTGATGACGATTACTCGCAACGAGCCCCTTTCTTCCACGCTCTTCTCGTCATGAGTTCTGTGATTCCAAAGAATCCAGATGGTTTGAGCAGAGCAGAAAACCATCACTGCAAGCGGGATCAGAAACCCAAATACTTCCACAGAAACAATGAAGGGGACACTCCACGTCTGCTCTGACATGTTGTGAAAGCATTTAATAGATTCCTTCCTGTGAAACACATACATTGGGCTGCTGCAGATCCAAGCTGCTGCCCAGATGAAGCAGCAAATCAAGACAGCCCACCTGGGGGATTGGTTAGCTCGACCTTCAAACGGGTGCCTTATGCAGATGTACCTGTCCACAGTGATGCAGACAATGATGAAGATGCTGGTGTAGGTGTTGACGAAGTAAGGAGCCTGTATGAAGGAGCACAGCAGTCCAGGCGCCCAGGTGACAGAGTAGTAGAGCTTTGGTGGCAGTGAGAGGAGCAGCAGGACGTCTGCCAGAGCCAGGCTGATCATGTACACCGAGGTCTTGGTCTGCTTTCTCCAAAAGCAGCAGAACACACACAGAGCCAGGCTGTTGAGAACCAGCCCCAGGATGAAGGTGGGGATGGAGATCCTCAGCTGCACCTGCCATGCCAATTTGTCAATCTCTGTAAAGCTGCAATCCTCACTGCTGTTGGTAATTTCTGCCCTGAAATGACACAGAGAGGGAGTCACAGTTAACACCATGATAGAGCCAAACCAAACCAAGGTACTTTCAAACACGGTTTTAGATTTTTTTGGTTTTGAGATGGACACTTCGTCTATTATGGAAAGTGAAACCTTTCAAGCACAGGGCTTTCTATTTCCAATTTGACTGGCTTGATATGTTACAAAGGAGTCTGATTCTCAAGGGAAAGTAGTCAGCATCCCCTGATTACCATCCCATGTAAGATAATCCCATTCAGATATTGAAGATACTGACTCCTTCAAACACATATTTTCAAAAAACTCTAAAGACTACTGGCTATCTTTAATAATTTGTACACTTGTTGAAATTTCCCTAACACTTATGCTTAGTTTTATTGCTACACAGAAATTAATGAAATTATTGATTGATAAAAATTGATCTGATAGCTGGGATTTTACTCTTATATCTGAATCCCCATGCATCAGTAGCTTTTGCTGATGGGCTTTTACTGCACCCACATTTATATAATGTTCTAGTTTCATACAGTGCTTATATCCAGTGCAATAATTTAAAAGATCAACTTCAGAAGACTGATCTTTTATCTAGGTGCAAAATGAGTAAGGGTGTTTTTCATGGTTGTGCTTAACTTTCAGCATTGCTTAAGTTTGGGGTTTGCACTTGAAATTTTATCTAGTTATCTTTGATAATCCAGCAAAGATTAGCAACTGGAAGCCATGACATCTTCATAATACAATTCTTAAAAAAAAAAATTGGCCTTGAATGTTATCACTGTTTTTAAAAATATACTTATGCTTTAATAAATTATGCCTTAAAAGTGCTTTTTATAACCTCTTTTAAATCAAAACCTCAAAAAGTCCTAATAAAGCAGAAAAAATTGGTAGTCGAAGTTCTCAGTCCAATTCAGCCAGCCAAGTAGCTCAAAAGAAATTTTAGGAGTAAGTAAAGATGTTTTAAGAAGTTTGATCAAGAGGAGAATCTTTGCTTTGGAGGATGAAAAGTGACAGCTCTTAAGCACTGACAAATGGAGCCAAATTTTGCGAAAGAAACCAAAACCAACTAATGAAAAAAAATATTATTTTTGCATGGCTAAAATGAAATATTTTTTAAAAAATAGAGAAACAGAGAACAGCTGAGGAGATAGCCTTGCATTTGGCCAGCTCTTATGCCACTAATTTCACAGGAATGCTGACATTGTGCTGGAGGTCAGAGGTGGGATGGCTTGTGGGGATCAGTGAGTGATAATGGAAATAAATATGAACACAGAGCATGCTCAGAGCTTGACATGCTCCTATTAGTGAAAGTTATTTTCCAGCTCAGACTACAGAAAGAACTGGCACATAAAACCGAAGATCCAGCTCAGTAATTGTTATGAAGTATGGCTGTTATTAGTGTGCCTGGAAAAGGTTCAATCTAGTGTATCTGCTGAAGGAAAGAGTATCAAATGTGATTAAAGGAATTCTGTAACTGTTGAGAGTCTAAGCTTCACACAGATTTTAAAAGAAAACTGCTAAATAAGTCTTTCAGAGCTCTTACCAGACCCTTATCTTTGATGAAGTATCTGCTTTTTCATATAAGGGAAAGGCTGGGGGTTTTAGGCACTTGCACTTCAGCAAAGTGTACTGGAAACATGTGAACAGCACTAGAGAAAACAGGGTTTAGGGCAAGGGCTGTTCAGTAGGTGAACAGGAGGAAACAGCAGGGAGGTGGTTGCCTGAAAGCTGATGAGGATTACAACCAGACTGGGTGGGGGTTACTGAGGGCATGCACGACACCCAGACTGTCCTTGGCAGGAGTGAGGGTGACTTCTGGGGAGGGGCTGGGTGCCACTGGCACCTGCAGAGAGCTTGGCTGATCCCTTAAGGTTTAGCTTTCAGTTTGAGCTTTCCTATTTTCCAGTCTCTGTGCTGCATTGGTGTGTGACTCTGAACTTCATAGAAAGTCTTAGCAAGTTCTCCTCA